CGGTGGTGGTGACGGTGGCGGTGGCAGTGGCGGTGGCGGTGGCGGTGGCGGTTGGCGGTGGCGATGGCGGTGGCGCTGGCGGTGGCGGGGGCGGTGGTGGTGGTGGTGGTGGCGGCGGCGGCGGTGGCGGTGGCGGCGCGGGTGGCGCGGGTGGTGCGGGTGGTGCGGGTGGGTAATGCGGAGCAGTAGCAGTAGCAGCAGCAAAGCAGCAGGAGTAGTAGTAGTAGTAGTAGTAGCAGCAGTAGTAGCAGCAGCAGTAGTAGTAGCAGCAGTAGCAGCAGCAGCAGCAACAGCACCAGCAGCAGAAGCAGGAGCAGCAGCCGCATGTGTCGTAGTGCCTATGACCAAGAAATTATATTAAAGAGAGAGACAAAGGCAGCAATAAGTTCTAAGCTGTCTCGTCATAAGGCTGCGCTTGTTGCCCTTCGAAGTCTTAAGACAGGTTTGGTTGACGGGCAAGCTGGGCGACATTGCAACATGCCTTGCAACATTAGCATTGCACTCCTGGGCGGGCTTTCCGCCACGCTACGCGGAGCGCCTGGGGGCATAGCTTTGCATGGATCGATGACATTTAGCCAGGTGCTTTGGACACGTCTGCTCGGGGACAAACAAGCATCACCGCGAACTTGAGTAGTGGTGATAGTAGGGTGTTGTTTGCAGTGCACGCGGTTAAAGGACACGACTTGCAATGCGACCAAAGTAGTGCTATCCGGATTCCAAATGAGTGATGTCCTGTTCGACATAAGCCATCCTTTGATATTAAGATAAATGCTTGCGCGAACTACTTGGGATGGCTGTTTCCTCTGCTCACGCGGACTATGCGAGGACACTCTTGCTATCCAGTTGCCTACGTGGACTTCGCGGCATCCCAGGATTGTTGTTCGTCTTGTAAATTGAAAAAACTACGCAGACTACGCAGACAAGACAACGTGTACACGTGCCCACGCGAGACCACGCAACACTACGCCCTGCAGGCCAGAGGTCACGTGATCACTCTGGTAATTTCATGGTAATAAGAGCTCCTAGATTCCTTCTTGCGCAACTCAAGTGTGTTAAGCAGCGAAAAACCAAATCCTCCGTGAAACCGGTAGAGCCACGCAAAAGCTCGTCTGACACGGATCAGGCGGTTGTGCAGAATGGACAGGGGGTCCGTGCAGACAGGCGCGTAACAGATCAGGGGGGCCCCAATCGGATCACAAGAACAAGGGGGTTCGCACAGGCAGGTACGCAACAAATGAGGGGAGGCCCAAATCGGAACGCCAAATATGTTAGAGACTTCGCACAAGATCCCACCTCATTTGTTGCGAGATTGCTAGTAGTCAGGCTTGGAAAGTGAAATACACGGTAAACCACGATGCATCCTAGTTGTCCGTCCATTTCAGTGTCCATTTTATTTTCCATGTGACTCTCCTGGCCTTGAGCCTCCCTTCAAGGCGGGTGCCGAGGCGAACACACACTAGCGTTTGTTGGTGACCGCCAGGTCATGCAGAAAGTTGTCCATCGACACCAAGTCCCTAAAGACTACAACATGTGCTGCAAGCTGAAAACCTGAATGCCTTAAATCTGAGGCAAAGGCTTTCTGCAATGCTCTTAGCTGGGCTGGCTGGCCTCCGAGCCTTGCTGTCGGACCTGGGCCAGGAGCACAACAACTGACATGGTAGCAGATCGTCGTCACGGTGACAGTAGGAGCCTTACACACAGGAATTACTGTAGAAAAAAGAATGCAAAACAACGAAGACTTAAGTCAGTGAAGCTAATCCTTGCAAGAGTTCGAGCTTAAGCGGACAGCCGTAAGTGCCTTTTTCCCGCCGCCGGCTTGTGCCCCCGCATGCAGTACCAGCGTTTGAATATGCGCATTTAAAATTCTGCACGTGTTCGACAGGCAAACTCCGCTGGTTGCCAAAGCTCCTCCACAGTGCCAATTCGACGCAGCTCCTCTTGAGCGAAGAGGCTCGAGCCTCAGAAGTCCGCTGCAAACCCCAGATTTCAAGTGGTGTGGAGCCCAGCTGTGCGGATTTATTGGCTTTGTTTGGGTATCAGCTTTCACATGCCAAACTTAGCAGCATGTTCCTTGATATGAAGTACTCACATCTTCTCATTGCTCTCACCCTGGACAGAAGCAAGCCACCTCGATCTCACGTCTTGTTCTTCAGGCCATATGCATGCCATTTGGCTGCAGTTCCTGGCGTGCAGCCAGCAAGTCTGCATTGATGAGGGTTCAGGTTGGCAATGCACTTGCAACCAGTCTGTGAAGACTTCGCGCTAGCAGTAGCAAGCGACCTTTTTCACGGTTCTACGTGTGCGTCGAGTTGTCAAGCAGGTAATTCAGTGCAAGCCTCATCAGGTCTTACGAGGGCAAGGAGTGGATTGGCCTCGCTTGCGGTGCAAGTAGGACCAGTGGTGCGAGCACCCGCAAGGAGCGACCAAGATCATGCATTTGATGAGCAGTGCGCTCTCGTTAGGTGCCAATGCTGGTGAAACCTATAACTCGCTATTATTATGCAAAATGCTGCCGGGTATTGAATCCTAAGTCTTCTACGCGTGCTCTCAGTCGTCATTCATGGAGCCTGGTAAACTTCCATTTGGTTGGATCTTCGCCGTGTCCGGAATCTCTGGTGGAAGCGGTGCGTAATGCAGCTGCGAAATTCTAGACCTCAAGGATACCGTCTTCGTCATGCCCAGCTGTTTGGCTTCCCATTCCTCCTGCTTCTTCCTTGCCGCTGCCACAAACCCTCTGCGGACGGCAAGGCGAACGGTGAATTGTCTAACAATAATCCCTAGCTCTGGACAAGTTCGGGTGCGCAATTCCACTACTTTCATGAACTTCTCGCGGGTCAGGAACAACACCTCGAGATACGTCAGGGCACAGCCCCTGATGTTGCGGATGAGGCTTTGATCGGAGAGGACAAAATCCTCGCCCCAAACAGCGCCATTGGTGCCCACCCTGTTGTTCAGCGCCACAATGCCCTTCGAAACGATGTACAGGACCTGCATGTTGTCAAACTTTTCCCCCTGAGCAAATGCTCCACAGGACAACTCGCGGGATACGTCCGCGATGCATGCCTTGAATGGATCGGTGTCATGTCCTAGCGCATGCTCGGCATCGATCAGATCCATGAACCTTTCAAGGAAGGGCACCTTTGAGATCCACGGCAGGTTGACCGCAGTGCTGATCTCCGACTGCAGCTGCGGGCTCATCGCCTCCCTCAATCTCTGGCGCATGATATAGAGTGCCTGATGGCGGTTCTGCAGGAAGAAGCTCCTGCACAAAAGGAGCTGCTCTGAGGACATGTTTACTGAACAGCGCCAGCCTCAGGCGGTTCCAAGGGAACATGCACTTTGTTTGTGATACTGCGGTCTCATGCCTGCACACGCCTTGAGTCGGCGTTTCATCTACAACCCGTCCCATTTGCTCCTCATTCGGCAACGCAGATCGTACGGCAGTCCCTGCTCCTTCCTTAGGGTTGTGGTTCGGGTCAGCCCAAAGCTGAGTCCACTACATGTTGGAACTTAAAAATGGGAAAATTACATACTCTGTCATGACTGAGCTGCATCATGCGGTTGAGTTCTGTCATCTTCTTGCGGAATCCCTGGCTCTCAGCGTTCATGTCCTTGCTGGGTCAGGGCGAACAGTAGCCCGTGTTTCCCTTTTGCGGGCTCTCTCTTTTTAAATGCAGACAACGTCTGGATGTTTCTTGCCATGGGATGACTTCCTATCTTTCTAGAACATATCTGAGGGTTGTGGTGAAGTATGGTAGGCGTTATTGGCAGGAGCTTTTCTGGCACCACCTTGATACATTGATAGGTGCCATGTAGTGATTTGGACTGCCATCGGCCCTTCAGCAGGCCATGAAAAGAAACCAGGACTCAAAGCTTGTGACAGCTTGCGCGACTGTACAGTGAATGTGCGAGTAATTTGTTTTTTGCCGAAGGAAGACTTGTTCGCGCAGGGGAAACAGTACAGTAGCTTGGTGGATAAGCAAATGCCGCATGAAAACAACACACTTCTTGAACAGGAGCCCGGGAAATACTTGCAACAAACGATTAGCCCTTTTGAATTGGGCGACCAAACTTGTTGTCTTGGCTAAGTTCACTCCAAGTTTCACTCACAATGGCACACACTTCTCCAAGCACATAGGCCCAACATAATCCGGCCGTCAGGACAATGAGAGTGCAAACGCATCGCTCCAAATAGTTCCTGAGTCATGCGTGAGTGCTGCAAAAGCCGTAACTTCACGAAAAAATCAGACCGCCAGCATACCAACTCAGACAAGCTTCTTGGGCCCAATGTCCCCGTAGCCGACGGACGTCATCGTGTAGGTACAAAAGTACAAGGAACTGATGTATGTGCGCATGGGATCTTGCCGTGTTTCAATTCCAACTAGACGGTCGATTGCCTCGATGTCATTGATCCACTGAGGGTCGGTGGACTCGCCTAGCTGCAAAGTCATGGCCCAAATGCATGCCAGCCAATGGCACACCATGCACAGGATGAGCAAGAATCGGAACAAAGCAAACTGCTGGTAGGGGATGGAGATGGCAATCTCAATCCTGTGGAGAAATCGCGATGTCTTGAGGATCCGCATCAGCTTCCTCAGATCCAAGCGTTTCGAAAACAACTGGAAGCTTCCATGGCCCATGAGGAAATCTCTTAGAATATGCTAGCAAAGCACTTCAATCAACCGCTCTGCTTTGGCCAAGCTTCAACAACCTTAGGGCGCGGATAGCTTTGCTGGCCTTTCCCAAGCCCACCTGGTCTGCTTGAAATGTCAACTCGAAGATGTCGAATGGCACCAGCGTGATGAAGTCCAACGCAAACCAGGTTTTCAAGTAGTGGCCGGCGATCCTAGATAGCTTTTGCTCCCAAACAACCCCTCTTGGTGTGGTCCGCGGGTACATAGTGACGAACTGAAGGAACACATCGCAAAGGAAGATCAGGTCCACCAAGGTGCTGAGCGTGAGCAACACGTCCTTAGATGAGCTCCAGGTATCAACAAGATTTAAGCACATGCGCACTGAAGTCCTAGAATATAGTGCCAACCAAGATTCCCACTCAACAAGCTCTAGGAGACCTACTTGGAATGGCACCACGATCACTACAAAGGCGAGCGCGCACATCGTGACCACTTGCCAGGCCGCAAACTTGCTGCTCCTCTGTGGGTTCACGACATACCACGGCTTCCTCTCATAATTGGCGGTCGGGGTAGTCCGTAGCTGCTCAAACTTGGCCTTCAAGATAGCATCAGGGTCTTTCTCCGCAAATGTCTGCATTGAGCCCCATACACGAACTGGCTCTTGGGACTCAAGCTCGCCTACGGCGCTCTCCTTGCTGTCGTCTTTGCCTGGAGTAGCTATAGTTTTTGAAGAGGGGTATAATGTATGGGTTATATAGGGATAATGGAAAAGAAAATGGAAACTACTAGTTGGGGTTTAGGGTAAGATCCCTGAAATCTTGCTCTAAAAATCTCTAAGAGATCAGACCCCCGAAGGACGCTGTGTGCAAGCTTGAGATGCCTGTGTTGGACCGAGTGGGTCCCTCTGGTTCATCCGGGACACCCCATGGCTTCACGTCTGATATATGGCACGCGCTATATGATGACTCACTTCTGTTTGACATGTTGGGCTTGTTGGCACCCTCTGGCTCCGGCAAAGCATCATGCATTGGAGAAATAAGAGGTGAAGTTGGAGATGCGATAGAAGGAACTTCACCTTCACAGGGATGATCTAATTTTGCACACTGAGTACAAACAAGACTCTAAGTCACTCTAGTCTGCATGAGCTTCGGGTGGCCTTCGCGCAGCCGTACATTCTCGAGTTCGAGGTCGCGCAATTTTGTGGACTGTCTCTCGAGTTCGGAGCTAAGCTGCTGAAGGATTTCTCGCCAACGCTCCGTCATGGCGGCACTCGGCTACCCCAGCTACTCTCTTCTTAAAAGAGATGTCAAGGGCAAGATTCTACGAGTGTCTCGAGCCACAAGCCAGCAAATGCTTTCGGATTGGCATGGTGCAGCACATTGCACAATATTACAGTGCCAACTCTCTGCGTGCTGCGAGGGAGCTCCTCAAACAGCTACTGTAGGACATGTTTGGACCATGATAGACCACGTGTTTGCAGACGCCGGGAACAGCTTTGGGCCTCCAGCTGGGCCAGGGCCCACTGGCAGGAAAAGAGCTCCAATATGGGCTGTTGAATGCAAGCTCCTTCGGCTGCGGTGTGTGAAGCATGTTGATATGTGTTGATAGTCTGCGTTGATCTTATTCTGGCTAACCTTGAGCCAAACCTCGCTCTTGAGTAGTCTTGGCTTGTGACGCCTTCCACACAGAGCACTTGCTGTGCCCTTGGACCCATGGACGCCCAAGACGCCGGCGAAGAGCTGCTGGGCTCGGAGGGTGCGTCATCCACCTTCCCGGAGAAGCAGGAAGCTTCAGTCACAGTCAAGTTGGGCACACTGGTGTTGAGCAAAGACCTTGTAAACAACACCTGCGTGGTAGGGTGCCAGTTGCTATCAGCGACACTTTTCGCCCTTGCGATGTTGCGGCAGACATATCACATACCTTAGCTGAAGCAGAAAATGTGCGCTGTGCCGAAGGCCCCAGTCTCATGCATTTGTCTGAGCATCCAGCGCAGATTTCGGGATTGATGCCAGCAGGGGAAGTCTCGAGCAGCAAGGAGAGAGCATGCCAGGCTAGTTGATACATCGAATTCCCAAGCTACTTCCACGAATCAACAACAGTGCCAATACCGTGACGTGGCAAGAGGCGACACAGGGAAGGGTAGAAGCAGAAGCATCCTGACTCTGCACGGAAACGCATAGTTACATGGAGCGGGACGACTGCGCATGTTCGAAAGCCGATCAGTGGCAGCATCGAAAGCACAGCCATCACTGCCATCATCCCATATTCCCCTGGTTCTCATTCTTGCTTAGTCTACTATTCGGTTGTGCTCTTGTGCCTTCATTGTCATCCCGAGGAAGTGGCAGGCTCTCATAGAAACAGATGTTGGGTTAGATTCGCTGCCTCCATATTTACAGCATGAAAAAACTCTTTGGGAGACGCTTCCAAATCGAAATTGCCAAGTTGTTGCAGTAGCAAAGATGCCCCTCTGTCCGCTGCATTCTACTCTGCTTGGCCCTGCAGGGACCCACCATCTCAAAAATTGGAACAGTAATTACCCTGTCTCGTGAAGAATTCAGTTTTTGATTGGGGCTCGAAGACTCTGACGGAGATCATGTGGCTTGGGGTTCACTCCTGCAATGCCCTACAAGCAAGGCTGCACTGGCTGCGCCCTTCCAACGTCAAGCCACCGCATATTTTGATGGGGAATGCCGGGAAACAGGGGATCCGTTCCCTGTCCGTACTGTTATGGCTGCAACCTCTACTCTACTCTTGTGAACGTTGTAATATGCTTGCCAGCCCCCACCCCAACAGTCAAACCACACTCCCCAGCGCTAGATCGCGAAATGCCCCCGTTAACAAGGCTGACACAATGTGTAAGATGGATATGCACCCACATGATACCGCGTGCAGGGACATGATTCTTCGTTGGAGGTCTTGTAGAACGAAACCAGTCTTGTAGAACGAAACCAGAAAGATTTGAACCCAGGATCTTTGAAGAGGGCACTGAGAATGGCAGGGCAACCCCTCAACAAATACTCGGCAGTCTTGGAACACAGTCCAACGCCCTCAATGTAGGAATGTAGGATCTTCATTTCCATGTCCTTCCTGGGTCCGCTAAACCTCAAGGCCTTAATAGCTTAGTAGCTTCAATATCTTTTCCACTCCCTCTTCTATCTATCTATCTATCTACCTACCTACCTACACCCCCACCCCCCAACAATTTAGCATTGCTGGCCTGGCCTGGTAGGTTGTGGCCTGTTTGATGGAAGGCTCTCCTTGGAAGTTGGGCTCCCACGGCCCTCCTTCAGCCTCACAGCAAGCATCGCTACTCCACCTAAACCTCGAAATGCATGCTGGTGTTCCTTTGGTGGAGCAGGAATGTGATTGGTCAGTGCAGGGCGCGGGTCTTCCTGCAATTGTCTTCCCCTTGGCTTGGTGAGGGACTGCTTTACAGAGGCGAGCTTGCGCCGAAGCCTTGAGACTAGTTTCCCTCAAACAATTCAAGGGCTCATTCCTCTGATTCGTGGCCTTCAGGCAGGTGCCGCCGCCTTTCCTCTCCTGTTATGTGGAGCTGCTGAAAATCGTGGCCTTATGGGGCTCTTACCGTTGGGGCGTGTACTCAGGAGAAGTCCTGCAGCACCCCTAGGACCAATCCGGTCGCCACAGCAGATGCAGCGCCTGGTTCGTCAACCAGCGCACATCGAAAACCACCTCTGGAGCTGGATGTGAACAGGACCACTCTGAATTGCGCTGGACCGCGTGGACAGCCATGGATTAGCATGTAAAACGGTTTGAAGATATCCTGTCTGTCCCTGTTGCCACTTTCTGTCCTCAAACGAAGCCCTGAGTGCACAATTAAGTCCCAGCTGCGACAGCCATGTCTGCAAGACTTCCCGCCAGCAATGGCTTCACCGCAATTCCTGAGAAGGTGAAAAGAAAGCACAAACAAATCCATCTGAATCATCGCCCAAACTCAGTTGAGGGTCTGAGATCCGTGTGGAAGGTGGGGTTGAAGCCAAAGGATGCAATCTCCAGGACAGCCTGAGCCCAAAACCATTCAAAGCTCACCAAGCAGCCAACATGGGTCATGGGTCACAAGCGATGTTGACGGTGTCAGTCCTGTTCATCTGCGAAATGAGCACATTGACCACCAGCAAGCTCCACTGCCTTCATGACAGCAGAGTTGTGATTATAAATATTAATTACCCTAAACCCCAAATAGTAGTTTCCATTTCATTTTCCATTATCCCAATATAACCCCAATGTAACCCAGGTAAGACCTGTGCCTCGCCTTGTTGATGACTGCCAATGTGGCTCTGACTGCTTTCTCCGCGAAGCCGCGGCACACAAAGCGCTCCTACAACTGGAAGGTTAGGGTTTAGGGTTTAGGGTCAGGAGCTTGCACTATGATAAGCCTCTGCCCAAGTGAATACATGTGCCTGCTCATCTAGCCCATGTCGCAGCCAACGGTCAGCCTAAAATGTCAGTGGCCAGCGACTTCGTGAAACAAAGCTACAGACCATTGGTTTTGCAGAAGACGACCTAAGAGCAACCTACAAATCTAACAGCTAAATGTTCCAGAATCTGGCTTGACATTCATTGAGCTTCATTCAGCGACTGATGCATTTCTGTGACCTCGATGCAGGCGTGGAGCAGCGGATCTGTTCCGCGCAAAGGCTAGCACGGGGTAGCTTAATCGCGTGAACTCAGACCTAAGCACGATCAGCAGCAAGCAAGGTCATGCAAGGTCCTTGTTCAAGAGCTTCCATGATGCAAGAGGCGAGCGAATGCAGAGACCACTTCAAGACATGAAGAAGGGACAAACTCAAACACACTCATCCGGCATCCGAGGCTGCAGGCAGCTCGGAGGGTGCAACGCAAAGATGCACCGAACGTGTGTCCTCCACACAGGCGCAGGGCATTTCTTGGAGAGGACAAAGGGGGCAACGCAAGCTTTGAAATTGCACGCATCTGTTTACTGGAACTTGAGACTCCGCTTGCGCAAAGCACTACGAGTACTTGTGAGGCCTGCCAGGGGCAGTTGTCCATCGATATGCCTGCCTTAGCAGCAGAAGGTCAATCCAACACTATAGACTGCTCCGCGGTCCACGGATGTCACAGCATCAGTCAGGACAGCTGGACACTCACTGTGACGGACTCTGCCAACAATAGAGATGCACACTGCTGCGAATTTAGAAATTGAGCAGTTATTGTTCCTTCCACGACCGTCATTACTAGATGCATCAACATCACCGTGCGAGTTTCTCAAAGCCTCTGCCTCAAGCCATTGCTCACATTGTAGCTGAGCTTGCCACTTCGGCACACCCTCGCACTTTTGGCTGCGGGAACCTCTGCTTGGCCGGCTTGACTCTCCCCCCCTCCATACCGCATACGTGGACAGGCTTTCAGGAGAGTGGCAAGAAAAGGCTCTCCGGTGTGAAGGCGGCCGATAGACGGCTGGGAAGCTGCACCCTGCCAAGTAGGATGCTCGTTCAGTCCTATGTTCGTTTTAGTATAGGTAGGTGTCCCGGAAATGCCTTCCAGCAGACATGCATATCCCCAGGCTATCGCACAGCAACATTGCAGCCCGCAAGCCTGACCATGTGCATACACAACTTCTTTTGGCCGTTGAGGATGCGGGAGCGCGTGTTGAGACACGAAGCTTCGTTGAACAGACCTGCGCGACCGCGGCACAGGAAGTCCACCCATGCAAAATCTCCCGGCTGCCACAGCAGGCGAACTTCAGGCTGCCACTGAAAAAGTGCCCAGTCTCTAGCTATGCGGCCATGCACCCACGCCCCCCAGTGAGGAAGGACAGCATGCTGTAGGGCAAGTCGCTCTGGGTGCCTTGCATCCAGTGGCCTGCGCTGGCCAGGGTGCAAAAAACTTGGCGACGGCAATCGCGTCCAATTCCTGAGGAGTTCTTGGCCCCAGGCATCATTCCGTAACAGGAACAGCTCTGGATCCACGCCAAAGCTGCTGGCTGAGATCAGCATGGACACGCTCCTGCCTGCCGCATGTTGCACGATCCCATGCTTGGCCAAAAGTGTGCTGACCGGTGTGTCAAGGTTCGTCACAACTACATCACAGTCCATCCAAAGCAACCACGAGTAGGAGATATGCAACGCCATAACAGATTGAAGCGCGTATGCTCGCCAGTACGCAGGAGCATTTGCACATGTGAGGTTTGTGCCAGCTGGAGAAGCACCCAGGACGTCCTTGGCGTCCTGGAAGAAATACAGGTCGTATCCGTGCTTGGCAGCATAGAGTTCTCGATTCATCCTACTGCCGGCGCGGACACCAGCAAGGTGAATCCCAGCACATGCTGTAACTACGGCCACTGAAGGCTCTTGACGGACAGAAGCTGGCTTAGCCGAAAATCTGGAGAAGACCGTTGTGCTTAGTTGCTGAAAGGCTGCAACAAGGTCGCGGCCGCGCAGAGGCCACTGGGTGCATTCCTGGTGGGCCCCCGTCGGAAGTATGGCTAAAGCAAATTGCAGCAGTGCCAGCTGCTTCAGCTGCCGAGGTTCATCAAGACCTTCGCTTGCTATGACCTCCGCTAGGCTGTAGCTTGTGGCGGCCACGGCTGCTGGGCATTGGCTGGCCAGCTCATAACTCTGACCGACAAGCGTCAGCAAGTTGACCAGCTGGTCTCGCGCAGCAGCTGGGCCTTCCCAAAAGACAGCGTTGCGGGCCTCAAAAAGCTCGCCGATCACGCCTGTCCAATCTAGTGTCGACGTCACGTGGTCCGGAGGCCCGCACTCATCGGCAACCGAACGCGCAAAGATCTTTTCAGAGGTGCACGGCTGCGCCGGCTGCGCTGTAGCCTTGAGAAGCCCCAAACAAGCTGCCCATAGCGCAGTCGCGCCATGCTGTGGCGCAAGCCACATGCCCCCATGGAGTACAAATACACAAGCCGAAATGTGTTGTAGCATTTGCTTGCGTTAAGCGCGTTGTGCCGGGGTCTTGTTTTGAAAGCCACCATAGGATAAATCTGAACAGGGTCGCTGAATGTAGAGAGGTAAAGGCTGAGCATCTAGGCTCTTCAGGAACTTTTTTGCTGCTGAAGACTTGTTGCTTGAAGTCCAGGCATCCCTCGTGGAGCAGTCAGTTTGCACATACTAAGCGCTGGGCCGTGCCATAACTAGTGTCAGACTAAGTGAAATTAGCATGGTTCCACACGGCGGGGCCTGCTGACGGGAGAGGCGACCAGCACCTCAAGCACGTGCACAGCGTCTGGTCCCTCCATTCCGGTCCTTCTCTAACGCTTCGGGCAACCTTGTGAAGTTTTGCTGCTTCTTTCCTATGTTCCCCGCCTGCTGCGCACGGGGCCAGGTCCGAAGCCTCTCAAGGGCCTCCACCGCCGAAGCGCCCGTCTCCAGCGCTGGGTGTGCCACATGGAGCAGGGAGGTGTAGACATCCTCGGCCGCTTCATGCCACTTGCTCGCACACATGCCCTTACATCATCCTGCACGTCCGTTGATCTGCGCAAGGCGATGTGCACGATAGCAGTTAGGCCAGGCACAAACCATGTGAGGATCCGTTCCGGGACTTCGTGCGTCTCGAAAATCTCCCTTGTGAAGTTTGCGTGGCTGTCCAGGAATGCCTGCCGACCCACTTTCCAAGATCGTTATCTTCTTGGATGTAGCCTATGGGGGCCACTCGAAAACGTGCCAAGCTTCAACAAAGACGTGCATGCAGCTGTCCACGTTGCACTGTTGCATTGCACTATTTGCGGAGCAACCCTTGCAGCAAGCCGATCTACCTCCCAGTCTTCACTGGTCTTGGCATCCCTCAAACCGATCAGAGACTCCTGATACGAATGAACCGTGATTGCACGTAACAAGACGCAGAAGACCGAAGCTGTCCTTGTAGGAGAGGGCCACGATAGCAGACCGCGATTTGAAGAAGTGCAAAAAAGGGCTGCGCTGCCTTGGCGGCGGGTCCAAGTTGCTCTTGACACGGATGACGCATTTTGCAACCCTATGACTCAGCTGCGCGCTCGCACAAGAACAACAAATCCAGTCTCCCGTGGTCCGAGCCGACCTGAAGTTTGCAAACTTGCCCAGCAAGGAGATGACTGTCAGCCACGTGGCCAAAACGATGTCGCCATTGGGCGACTCGGATGCGAAGACCTGCAACTGGGAGTCTGCTGCGCCGCGAAGCAGAAGCGAAAGCAGAGGTCACAGCCCGTGAATTGCGACCGAGTTTTTGAAGGCTGGAAGGCTGAAGGATAGACGGAAAACAAAAACTGGGACCCAGGATGCAATGAGAAAGGCCTCCTTCAAATGAGCAGCCACCGTTTTGTCAAGCAGCGGAAGGCTCTGCGCCTGGGCTAAGAAGCCAAACTTCGGGAAGAGCTTTGCAGCTCAACTCACAGGCAGCTTAAGCAGCAGAAGTGCAGCAGAGGTCCTCCCGCATTGTATTGATTTTGTTTGCAAGCGGTTGCTGTCGTCACATTGGGCTTCAAGAAGAGCGAAGCTGGGCTGTACAGGAGCTTCGGAGCTGGTAGCGGCAATTAGCGGCATGAGAGGGATGCTGCGATATGCTGCGGGCATCTGCGTGCTCAGCAGCTGCAGGGTGCAGTTGTGGGCTACAATCCATGCTGCGTTTTGCGCCGCATGCAGCCCTCTCAGCACGATTGAACAATCAATTCAAACGTCTAGGGCACTCATAGGAACAGGTGCCTTGCTCCACATTGCAAGCTTGAGAGAAGCTGCAATGAGAGCTACGCTGAAACTTTGACAAGGTCCTGAGATGCAGGGCACGTGACTGAAAGCTCTGGCGGCTGAGTGCCCGCGAATCCAGCTCAGACAAAAACATCACAGGGAAAGTTCTTGAAAATAATACTTGCTGCGACTACCATAGAGCTGGGCCTGCGAACTCAGCACTGTCTGAGCAAGTCTTATGGAGCAGCGTATGCCTGCATGGATATTGGATGATATTGGATGCTATTGGGGAGTGAGGCTTTTGCCAGGGCCCTCTGAGCAGTAGTGGGCCTTCAAGCCTCCCCCTGAGCGAAAACAACATCTGACCCCACCGTCACTTGTGCCGCAACGAAAGACCCGCCGCATCAACAGATTCGTAAGCCTTCACACATGAATGCAAAAGACTGAGGCACGCTTCGATGGAATGGCATTTAGCAATGGATTCCTACGTCCAGCTTAATCAGGGCATAGGCCTGCCATGACACAGGAACAGGCAGCAGGCCAAACTTTGCATTGCACTCAACATCTGCTATATGATATCTTTCAAGGAATGTCTAGAAAGGGCCCAAGCCTGGCTGGCTGTGCATGGGTGTGGTTTGTACAGGTGCCAAAAGACAGGTAGGGGTGCAAAGATCTTGTCCGGAAAGACATCAACACGCACGACTGTTCTGGGGCCGAATGCATGCTGAATGATCGATGCTTCCCTGCAGTGTATTGAGAAGCTGCAGCTCAGACGTTGGTGTCTTCAAAGGGTCAAGTCTGCTGCGCTGCACTTCTGGTCTTGAACTTTGCTGTCCTCACCTCACAGACTTGCAAGAAGCATGAGCACATCGCATGACCAGTCCGAGCACCGCACTTGAGGCCCTTGAAGGGATCCTCTTCATCACCCTTGCCGCATTGCTCGTGCATCTTCTTGGCATCCTCCTGCGATCAGACGGGAAGGGACTGTGCAAGCTTCCTATAGCGCGTTGAATAGCAGTGCACGGCAAACATCTCCTGCACGGCACGCATCATCTGCCTCTGCAAAGCAGCTACAGCTACAGCTTCATCAGCATGATTTCAGACTGAATTCCGGGCATGGGCGCATGGTATGGATACGAACGTGCAAATGTGCAGCGCCAAATTCAGTCACGCTGCTCACGCTGCTGTTCTGGCGTTGGTGCGGAAACCTGCGCACAGCACAGGCCTCCCCTCGAGTGCACGCCTCGCACCCAGCGATTCGAGCGCCCTCCTACAGCCCTCCTCATCAATCGAAAATAATCGTCTCCAACTCAGGCACCCTCACCCCTGCAGCGGGCAGGCCGTGTTCTGTGCCGGGGCGGCAAAAGCAGCAGCCACAGTGTCAGGGAGGCGGACAGCAGGCGTGGCAGCTGCGTGGCCTGACATCCAAACTGAAAAAATCAAAATGGATCGGAGCATGAAAGCATGGAATGGCCATCCAGTACCACCACACTACAACCCACTGCCATTCTCCCTTTCCAGGCAAGCAGCTGGCAGGTGCCGAGGCTCCAGTCAGGGGGTCGAAGCTGCTGAGCAAGTCCTCTTTCAGCAGCTCGTGCAGCTCATAAACTTATTTCACGGAGCTTAAAGAGAACAATGCTTCCAGAGCTTGCCAAAACAAACTTGAATTGCGCTGCCGGTGCGTGCAGCACTTAGCAACTGCACTCTTGTTCCGTTTCCAGCTCCTGCGTCTTGCCACCTTTCCAACTTTCGCACTCCAACTCTTTTGATGCCGAAAGCCATCCAAAAAATCGTGCACACTCTGCAGGAGGCACCTCTCTTATAAACCTTCCTCAGCAAAACACGACAAGTTCACATGCAGGGAACATGCTCTCAGCGGCTGGTTGGCGGGGAATATGGCACCTGGTGCAGTTTGACCCCGGCATCAGGCACAAATCTCCAAAAATGGTCCATGTCAAAATGTGCTTTGACTTAATTAACATCATTATAAATGAAAGGCTTCAAACTTCGACCTGGATCAGTTCAGCATGTTGCCGTTCGATCGTGCGGCCAGGCCTCACCTGAACATGAAATCTGGCAGTCCTGCCTTATTTGGCGGTTATTCCGTCAAAGAACACAGCATGAAGCTGTTCTGCGCACACAGTGAAGGCGGACAAAAGCCTTGCTATCAGGCGCCACTGGTCCCCGGCTTCACAAGCAGAAACCACAGCACCAATGCTCGTCGCATCACTTGCAACCGTTATCGAGTCCATCTTTCCAAGCAAAAGCAGTGCAGCTTGCCACTCAGTGCATGCTGCACAAGCGGCAATCGCAGTGTTGTAGACAACTTCATTAGCCCGTATACGCTCCTGCTCCAACAATGCAAGCAAGCGGAGGGCTTGCCTCCATTCACGACCAGTCTCGCAGGCCGAGATCGATGCGCTGTAAGTCACAACGTTGTTTTGTAGCTTTTTGAGGCGAAACTCCGAGAAGAGGAGGAGGGCAACCTGCCAGCGTCCTCCTTTCTCACAGGCACTAATGACAGCGGATGATGTTACAGTGGTTGGCTGCAGTCGCTGCGACAACAGATCATCGAGCAAGCATACAGCCTCTTGCCAGTGGCCCGTCTTCTCACATGCACTTATGGCTGCATTGTGCGAGACTTCATCAGGCCACATACTATGACTGGCAAGGCTATGAAGGAATGCCACTGCCTGTTGCCAGCGCCCACTTTTTTCACAGGCACTGATCACAGCATTGAAGCTGGTCAAATCAGCCTGCAATTCCAGCTTCTGCAGCTGCATAAGCAGAGCTGAAGCTTCTTGCCACCGCTTACTCTTTTCGAAAGCACTGAGAACAGCATTCAAAGAAATTGTATCAGGCTCCATGCTTCTTTCTGACGCCTGCTGGAACAGCACCAGTGCCTTCAGCCACTGCTTGGCCCTACCACAGGCACTGATTGCAGCATTGGCTGTTATCAAGTTGCTTTGTAGCCCTCCTTCTTCTAAGTTGTGAAGCAATGATATGGCTTCGCGCCATCTTCCCGCGGCTTCGCAGCACTTGATGGCCGCCCCGAACGTGATAAGACTGGGCCTGGGGCCATGCTGCACCAAGTGTTCAAGGATATGCAAGGCAAGCTGCCATTGCCCGCCTTTTTGAGAAGCGACAATCGCAGCAGTCTTGAGCCCCAGGCTCTGATCATCCTCTCCTTCTGCGCCCATTAGGGCTGCGACTGCATGTTGCCATTGCTCACATTCTCCCAGAGCTGTCGCAGCAGTATGTAGAATTCCCGCATTTCGGCCAGCATTCTCTCTCAGATCGTTGCATGGCTGCACCAGGAACATCATTTGCTGCCATTGCATGCCAATCTGAAATGCCCTGGCTGAAGCTTGGATAGTTTGGGCGCGGAACTCTGGCAGACTGCCCGACTGCCCCAGGCCAAGTACGAAGTGCAGTGTTTGGCGCCACTTTTTCTGGCCCTGCAAGGCCGAAAAACACGAATTGTATAGGATGCTGTCTGCTAGTAGGCTTCGACAAGCCATTTCATGCAGCAATTCCAAAGCCAGCTGCCAGTTGCCGGATCCGTCACATGCAGCTATAGCAGAACTGTAGGCCACAGCATCCAACTGAATGCGGGCGCACGGGATCTGTTGCAGGAGGTGGAGAGCCTCGCTCCACTTCGCAGCTGCTTGGCAAGAGCTCAGGACAGCACTGTAAATCACAATGTCCAGCTGTATGCTGGCTGACTCGGCGCTGCAAAGCAACAAAACCGCCTGCTGCCATTGGCTGCCACGTCTGCAAGCACTGACTGAGTTGCTGCACAGTATGACATCTGCTTCAAGCTCAGCATGTCTGACGTCGTCCAGCAGCTGCAAAGCTGCTTGCCATTGATGCCCGCGCTCACATGCATTTAACGCCATGCTGTACATTACCACATCTGCACGGGCTTGCCGCTGTACCTCCTGCAGAATGGACACAGCTTCCTGCCACTCTGCAAGCCTTGCTCGCACTTTTAGTTCAGCTTTGCATTGCCTGGCATGACCGAACTTCACCAGCACCATTTACATGGTCTGTTGGCTGGCATCCTTGCCAAGTGTGCCGCTACCCAGCCACTTCTGCTTGACACAGCTCGGCTGTACAAGCAGAGCGAAGCATCTGCAGCAAGCATCATTCCATCCAAACTCCGAGAAGCAAGATCACCTCAACGAGAGGTGATCACAAGGGTGGGCCTTCATTCGTGAAACCGCATTTTTGCTGGAGCCAAAGCTGAACCTGCAAGCAACCCCTTTGGAGGTTGGGCTGCTAACATCTGTTCCCCAAGTCATCCAGGTAACTATATTGTACTATTCTACAATACTACAATAACTATAGTATTCTAAACTATTTTGCCTATATTGTACTATTCTACAATACTATAATAACTATAGTATTCTAAACTATTTTGCCTATATTGTACTATTCTACAATACTATAATAACTATACCATTTTAAACTATTTTGCATGCAGCATGTTGATCCCCGTCCTCAGCCTGGCGCTCTGCCTTGCCGCCGTGAACTGGGCTTTTCGGGTCGAAGCACATGAGGTCCTGAGTCTGGGTGAGTCTGGGTTGCTGATAAGGAACTGAATTTAAGTTGCTATTTTGGGGAAACCCTAGTATTTACTACGTATACCCATTAAGTAGCTTAATTTAAGTTCCTTTACAGCAACCCAGTTCATGGCTGGGCTGCGCTGACGTTCAAAATCTTCCTCTGCAAGCTGATACTGCCTGATGCGGTACTTTCCCAAAATTGGGCGCACCCCAATGCACAGCCCCAAAATTTTCTTGTCATCCTTATACTCCGCATACTGCGGTAGGACTTGAAATGGGCAAAGTCAGAACGAAGCAGCTCAGGACCTCGCCTGCGCCATGGCTGTCGGGTAACGATAAGCGAGTGGGAGTCTGCGTTGGACAGCTGATGGGGCTGCGGGCGGATGCGTGGCAAATGTCCAAAGAATACTAAAAGAGTTCAGGGTTTAAGGTTTATGGTGTAATGGGGCAGCGCTGGCACATGCTGGATAGTGGAGTTTCGTGCATCTGTCTGAGGTCGGCACGTCCTGTGTCGTGTGCCTTGGGCAACTCTCAAGCCAAAACGCAGAGCGTGAGCTTTGTCCCACAACTCAGTGTTTGGCCAGCCGTAGAGCTTTGTGAAAACAAAGTTGGGTCTCTTCCGGTAGCTTCTGAGATATGCCTCACTCGTCAGAGATGTGTTTCTGAATCGGTTTGATTTCGCTGCTGAGGAAATCGTGACATGGAGAGAAGTTGATACCTGCTGCAAGCAACGCACTCGCCCAGCGATTCTCACAAACATTCTTGCACCGACGATGTGCTGAGTGCTTCCAAGCAACAAGCGAGAATCTCAGCACCTCTTCTGATAAAAGGGAAGTGCCAGCGCACCTGGCTAGTTACCAGTTAAACCAGCTCTGTGGCGCTGTTAGACTCAGACCGGCCTGGGACACAGATTCATGGAATCTCGTTGCAGGCGCTCCGCACAGGGTGAGTGCCTGACTACATGGAGGTTGCATAACTAGTGACCAGTAACCAAGGCCTTGACATGGCGCGTCCGGCGAGTGCTGTTTTTCCATACTGAGGCCACCATCAGTTCACCCCATCAACAGGCGCGAGGCGCGAGGGCCGCGGAAATTTGCTTGCCAGCGTGCACCAGCAGAGCGTTATGTAACTAATATGAAAATCGGCACGTGTGCCTAATGTATGCTGTACAGGCTTCGCCCAATTCAGACGGAGGCCGATGGGCGAAGCGGTCAAATCCATCAGACCATCGTCTGCTAACAAGCCTCCGGTGCGTCACCTCATGTCTCATGCTGTAGCTCTCTCAATCTCCGATTCAAACTCGGCTTGGGAAGGGAATGCCCCGAAATAGAGGTCCCGGTCTCGACGGATTTCCTGGCAGCATGCTCAGTGGCAAATGCGAAAGGATAGATGTGGTATGGCCAGTCAGGCACCAGTAAAAGATAGTAAAACGTACGCATGATCTGAAAACCAGGTCTGCCCGAGAATCCGAAAACGAGGTCAAGCTGGTAGTCAGCACTGTCTGTAGGGGCGGCTCACCCAACCCCAGCTTGCTCAAGAGCGTGCCCACAAAAGAAGTCTTAGATGGTCAGGGGATTCTAGTTGCCTCGGCCCCTTCTCATACAGACACTATACCCATCATATGACTCATGACTACTTTGGGGTTCTAACCTAGAGTTGGGAGAACAAGATACCCCTTGATTCCATTGTTTTCTTTTTTACACAGGTTTCGCGAAGCCTTTCCAAGAGATCCGATGCTGACCTTGGGCGCAACCAAGCTGCAGCCCCGTAAAGGGCCCGACGCACGGGCCCCGCTGTTTCCCCAGGTCCCAGCGAAAGGTCAAGCAAGGCGTGCCCTTCTGGCACCTAGGGCACACAAACAAGGCCACCAGCAGCAAGGAAAAGGCGCTCAAATCCTTGTCAGCACCTGCTTCTTCGAGTAGAGAGCCAATGCCTCCTCTACGTCACGGCCAGTCCCAACTTCTTTCCTGAGAGGCAGCTTGTGGCAGACTCCCGACACAGCTGGCACTGCACTGCTGAAGCTGATGTTCAATTTGACAACGTCCGTCTGCGGGTAACTCAGCAATGTTTTTGAAACAATGCAAAACCGAAAACTGGGACGCCCGCTGCAGAAGCTCGGCCAAGACCACAGAATCCTGCGCACATGGGTTGGTCGTGAGTTGCTACGAAGTCTTCTTATTGCCCCCGTAACAGACAGGGATCTGCTTGGTCAAGGAAATGCTATACTACTTTCCATTTCATTTCCAGATGACATAATGGCAAAGAGACTGAAAGCTTCACTCAATGAAACGTGCTGACTGCCGCGCCTGCAAGGCCGAATTGCAGCCCTGTCCACTGGCGCCGCCGGTCGAGTGGGCAGCATCCCCCAAGAGCACAGCCCCTCCAAGCGAGGGCTTCTGAATAATGACTACACTACATGCATGGCATGTCTCTATGAATGAATGGTAGCCAGGCGGCTTCCAAAGGAGTAAGTGTTGCACTTCACGATTGAAGCACGCGACGCCTCTCAAACACATTCCTTCTGCGGTAGGGGTGTTGCCATCTCCCTACGATGAGGCAGTTCCCCTATTCCCCTTGCCAGGGATCCTTCTGTGCCACAAACTGCTTCGCAGACTCCGCGTCTAAAGCATCCTTCCAGCAGTTCGTCATGCGCAGTGCAATCACGGATATCCCTGTGCAGCTATGACTACACACGCCCAGGTTGATCGAGATGCGTTGCTCTTGTGCGTAAGATATTCAGGCGAGGCGCTGCGATCAAGGGGAAGTAGGCTTCCAGGGCCTCCTGTGCCTGTCATGGCTCTGATCTTGAGAGAGATGCAAGGCAGAGGCATCAGAAGGAAGCAAGAAGGACCTGCTCGTTTGGGCTCTCTTTCCTTGCAGCACGATGTTCTTGATTCCGTGTTCGAATTCGTGACGCAGGCTTGTTTGTTGCTGTGACTTGCACAGTCATGGTCGTGGATCATTTCCGGCCGGCAAGTTTGCCAACAAGCTTTACTCGCCAAACTCTTGCGCCGAAGAGTTAGTCAAACCCTAAGGCTTCTGTGTCAGGTGTTGCCAGCGGTATTCTAAGCGTAGCTGTGGTCACAACCGCCTTCCAAGACGAGCTTGGGGGCTCAAAGATTGCAGCGACTTGGCAGCCCACCTCGGTGGGGTCCACCAAATCTCCCAGGCTGGGCCCTGTCTCAGGGTCCTTTGCATCTCGCCAGTTGATGAGGGCGCAACCTCCACCTGCGGAGCTATCAGCTGTCACACATGTCACCTGTTACGTACAGTAAGAATCATCTTAAAGAAGCCTTCTGGCCGTTTACAGTACCTAAAGTGGGAAAACACAAGAGGACCGGCAACCTGTGACGCCCACACCCGATAACACCCGCACAGCATTCAGCGTGATACCTACAAACACCCGATTGCACCAACTAAGCAATGCACATGATTCCCAACTTGACTCAATGCCTGCCAGGGCACGTGCTGTGGGCTCCACAAATGCAGAGGTGCCGCTCTTGCCAGGGATAGCATGGACGGCGGTGGGATCCAATTTCTCAGGCATCCTGGGTCTTCGCTTTGCGCAGGCTATTCATCGCAGATGCCCTCCACACTTCTGAAAAACACAAGGCTACCGAAAAGAGGGCTATCCTTGCAAAGGCTTGCATGCCAGCTGCTGCGGAAATCGCAGAACCTTCAAGCTGCCAGGAAGCGGCGTCTGTTCTGCCTTGCAGGCATGGGATTCCCTGCCGCTGGGTTCCAAAGAAATCGTTTGCAGCCCCCACAGCTCAGTCAACTCCGCACTCCTCAACCACATCTCGCAGATCTGCAAAACACATTATCATTAGAGCTTTGAATCTTCAGGCCTTGAAGCCGGGGCAGGCGCTGGCAATGCTGGCTCGAACCGCCTCAGCAACTTTCGCAGACATCTTCAGTTTGTGGAAGGCCGCGCTCCAGAGTGGCGCCACAGTATGAAAGGATCCCAACAAAACGACAAAACAATGGTCAGGGTACTGAGTTCACGCCGTCGCAGCCTGCAATGACGTCTACGGGAGGCAGTTCCTCGAGCTCCTCGCCAGACTGGAGCACTGCCGAGCCTGGCCGCCGTTTCGCAGAAAAAAGGCAGCCACCCATCCAGCATGCAAAAACCAAAGCAAATAAGAAGCAACCCCCAGGTGAGGATTGTATTTTACACGCTGCCAAATGAAAATTAGGGCTTGGCCTGCTGGTGGCAAAGCCAGAGGCATTGCAAATCTGCATTTGACAGCAAATTGCAGTGTCGGGCTTATGCTTCTAGGGCTACCAAAGCACAATGTTGGTTGATGAGGCTGCAAGCCAGAAATCGCAACACGACGATAGAAGGTATCCTGCCTGACACCGGATCTGCTGACTTCAAACGCGTCTCGAAGGAAATCTGTAGCCGGCCAGACCCTGGGCTTCGTGCTTTCAACATTAAATGCTACATGAAAGTGGTAGTTGCTGAAAATATACTATAGTCCTTATTCAAGGGACCCCAAAAGGTACCCCTAATTTTGGGAAACCCGCTTTAAATCTCTTGTGACCTCTGGAGGGCTCTACTAACAGGCCAGGAGCCAGAGAAGGAGGCCTCTAGCTCATCCAGCATTGCAGAGCAAAGGTCAGACTGATAGATCAGAAGGCTGGGCTCAAGCCCATTGTTATCCTCCGGCGTTCGGAGGTCGATTGCCTTAAAGGCTCACCATGCAAAGACTTGGGCAGGGATGTTAGCCTGGGCAAGTCTCTGAGAACTGTCTGAGAACCGAGAGGCGAATGTTGGGGAGAAGTGGAGCTTGAATCGCTCGCTTGCAAAGCCGCTTGGCTTGATTGAGGCCCAGAGCTTCTCTCCAGCTGTCCTCTTTTGTCAGAGAAACTGAAGCAATGACTTTTTGCTTTGAAGGACTGCTTCCATGGGTCCTAATGGCCGTACGTCCACGGATGCCAAGCCCCAGCGCGTAGGCTCGGCCCTCCAAGGACTTGTCTGTTCGCGGGTCACGTCGGCCCTCGACCAGGTGTACCGATGCCCCAGCAGAAAGCAGCCGGTGCGCCAGCAGTAGCCCTGCAGGGCATTGCAGGGCCCATTCAGCTCCAGTACGTCTGCGTACGTGTTTCAGGCATCAGAATCAGGCCTGAAGGCCCAGCTCCAGCAATGAGAACCGAAAGGGCCAGGCTGCTTTGCGAGTCGCTGTCGCCACCACGAGCCCTTGAAGGCAAGGAGCTTGGTCTGTGAAGAGTCGCAGCATCTTTGGCTGCAGGGCCAACAAAAGCGGCGGCCAAGCCCAAGCCTGAGCCAAGCACCGCACACGACAGCACTTGCTATAGCACATTGCAACGATATGGATGTAGGTGCTGGCCTAGAGCACAGCACAGAATTGCATCAGCTGTCGACCATGGTCGCCTCATGCCATTGTGAGCACCCTCACCAGCAGAACTCTAGGAGTACAGCAGCACGGCTGGCCTTCGCCAGCGACGCCAAGGAGCCGACATGGCATAAGCTCAAGTTGCACTTTTTGCGCTGACACTGCGGCAGGGAAGAAGGCACAACATGACCAAATGACCATGCATGATGGTCGATGTACAGATGCCTGTGGAAGCTAGGGCAGGCTATGGCAGGCTGGCAGAGAGTCAGTTTTGCTCTTGGTTGTGAAGGGACCCAATAGAGGCCTCACGGCTGAGTCTATTCATGCACCGAGGCCTTTACTTCGGCTTTGCGTCCACAGAGGCTATTGAGATGACGAGCGCAGTGTCGCAGCATAAAGCGTCCCTTTTGAATAGATGACCGCTGGAGGGCAACGAGCAAAACAAAGTCAAGAATGAAGTCGTTCAACACTGTCTGTCCCTGGGCTTCCCTGATGCATGCAATGCTGTGTCAAATGCACCTGGCCTCTCTATCCAGGTCTCACGCCAAGTCTGACGCCGTGAAAGTGGGAAAACATGGTCCGCAAGCCCCAGATCCTCCTTTCGCTCCGGGAGGCCGCTCCAAAAACTACGGAACTACTATAATCTATAGGGAGTATATAGGGATTATATAGGGTTACATGGGTGTTATTTTGGGATAATGGAAAATGAAATGGAAACTACTATGATATATAGTTTCCCAAAATTAGGTACCGCCTTCTGTAGGGATCTTAGGATAAGGATTGAAACATGTTGAGTATATGAAGGGGGTGCATTCTGAAAACGCCCACATCCAAAACTGCCGACTGCGGTCCTGCTCACCGCAAAAGAAATCTCGAAACTCACAGAACACTCCAATTCCTCGGCCGTGCCACGACATCATGTTCAAAAAGGGGTCAATACGATGTTGCCAAGGAGCGGTAGCCATTCCGCTTAAGTGTGCGCAAAAGATTGTGCGTGTTGTCCCCCTCACAGGGCACAAGAAGATTAGCGTGTTCAGGCGGATCAAGCTACAGAGCTTACACTTCCCCTCTGAGAAGAAGCATGCTGCACCTGTAGCTCAAGGCCCCCAAGCAGAGGGTAAAGATTTTGCACCTGGCAGAGCACTTCCACGCTTTGCAGTGGCGGCTTGAAAGCAAATCTTTCACTAGTTTCCAACACTGCGGGCTGGCGCCGTGCTGCCCCATTGCACTGTGTGAAACCATCCTCAGCACATGTGAAGACTTAAACTCAAACAATTGCGTACCAAAAAGGTTGAGCACGCAAGGCTTGAACAGCCACTTAGAAGCCAAGTCTCCTGCTGCTCCACCCACATAGCCAGGACCAGACTTGCGCAGGGCTTGAGACGTCAAGGGCAATAGCTCCTGAGCCATGGATCGCAACAGCTAGCCAACACACCTTTCAAGCACCGACAATGTCCTCCAGCGTATGCACGGACCTGGGTTTCAAGCTGTTACACATGAAAGCTGGCACAGCCTATGGGCCTATGGCAGCATTGACATGTGGCAGTGCCGCTCGGTTCTTTCTTGTGCAAGATCTTTCGTCCAGTTCTGAAAGCACAGTCTCCGCTGTCGCACTTGGCTGCGTCCTTTCCCAGAATCCTCCGTCACTGATGGAGCTATCGCAGCTGCTATTGGATCAAAGACGACGTCATGTCCTGCAACGCATCGAGCTTCACCGTCTTACGTCTTCGGAGCTACGGGACATGGCTGCTGGCAGACTCGCAGGCGAGCAAAGCCCGGAGAACGGCTTCTAGCGGTCTAGCGGAAGTGCGGATCCCCACCGATGGGCGTCAACTTGAAGGGGACTAGCTCCACATGAGTCGGCTTGACCTTCTGCTTCCCGCAGTCAACTGCCACATTTTCTCGCATAGACATAATACCTGAACTCTTGGCTCGAACCAGACAGAGCTCCAGCATGTGGGCACATCCTGAGATCCGAGGTCTTGCATAGTCTCGCATCTAGATAGTCGTGGGGGACGTACAGACCGTATAGCTAAACCTGCCATGGGCACGGCACGGGCAGATCGCTGGTCGTCCCAGAAATGAAAACCTGGGCTTGCCCGCAAAGTCTCAGGACAGTGCCGTGCAAGGTTTGAATGTTAGCAGAGACACGGCGACCGACTTCTCGGGCGTGAGCGCTAGGTTCCCAGCGGCAGCCTTAGATGTCTAATGCGCAAAATGGCGCAAAAACAATCCAGACTCGCATGTCCTTCTGTTGTCAGAAGCCTTGCAATGCTGACGTACGGATTCGTGTGAATGAGTGATGTCTGCCCTACGCCCTACGCTTTGCGGAGCCGTCCCTTGCAGCAGGGGCACAAGCTGGTCAGCACCTTCGCAAGCTCCGCAAACTTCACACAAATCTAAGTAACAACGTAAAGTAACGGAACGGCCTTCCGGAGAGAGGCAGTAGTTCACCGTGGGCTGAGACCGAGGAATGCGTGGACCAGATCCTGGCCGCTTGCACCGCTTACATCGTTCATCCTAGGAGGCTCCCTGCTTTGCGCTGCTTCGCACTCTTTTGCCACTCCAAGGACAGCTTGGCCGCCGGGGAACCGTAGACTTTCAGCTTCTCAGCCTCCTCGATGTCACGGAAGGCGCACCCTCTGCCGACTGCCAAGCGCTTGGAGCCGATGCTGCACGCAGGGCACGGGAACCAAACCTGGATGTGAAAGTATAGGGACAAAGCTTGAAAGCAGGAGCTGCTTACGTTCGACAAGGAAATCTTGGGCTGGCCAAGGTTCGTTGACGAGCAAGTGCTTTGCTTCGTTCACACTCTTGCCAGGGACCTGCGGGGGATCTGCATGCAGCGCTGATCTGTGCTGAAAATCCAGCCTTGCAACAACTGCTCGAGCCTCATCCAGATGGAAGGTTGAGATTCTGGCATTGTTTCGCTTTACGTGATTGTCTGGTAGTGGGAGGATCACAACCCTCTCCGGACCGAAGATCTTCTCCAACATGTTCTGAAAGCCATCCTCAGCTGGTGAGTAACAAAGGGATACTTGAAGGTTCATGTGAATTATAAATTGAGTGGGTATATAAGTAGAGTAGTGTTCTAAGCCCGGTTAGGTGAGAAGTAGTTACTAAGTCCCCTGAACCTTCAAGCAGGCGGCTTGGTACAAGGGCTCGTTCCATGTTTAGGTCCAAGAAGCGCTACCGCGGTCTGCAAAGCTTTGCACTGTCCGGGACTGGAGGACCACCAAACCATCGTGCGACAGCAGCTGGTGAGTTGTTCTGCAGAACCTGAAGTTTGAGCCATTGACAAAGCGGCTACTCTTCAGGAGCACGCAAAAGTCGCGTGCTACCGCCGACAGAACAAGCTCCGGAGACATGTGCCTTTAAAGAGACCTAGGGGCTCCGGGTTTGAGAGGGATGCGTCAGCACCCGAGCTGCATATCATGGACTCCAGGGTCGCCCATTCCTCATGAAGAAAAGCAAGCGCAGCATAGAAAAATGCGATGCAAATAGATTTGGCACCAGGTCCTGCAGGTTGTGCTCATGTTTCACGCTGCCGGACTCCAAGGTCTCGTAGTCGAAATGCTCGCTGGCCGTCGCCGGGCTGGAGGTAACCTGCCATCCCCAAGCAGGACCTCAAGCTTCGCTGCTTTGGGTAGAAAGTTTACCCTATTCCCGATGAGCCTGGTTTTGGATGGAGCCTGAGTCCAGCGCAAAGACACTGCCGATATCCTTGCCACATGCTGTACAAAGCTGTGGCCACAACCTCCTGTATCATCTTACTGGCTGTCAGTAGGGAATGTGGGAACATATTTCCGATATCCGCCGACCCCGGCTTGACGGGGCGTGCGCACAGTGAAGCCCAACTTCTCTGTTCCATATCCCTAGAATACAATATATTCCCATAACCCCTACTAACAACCAGTAAGGTATTGACGTAGCCCTGTTTGCCGGAGAGTGGTGTCAGCATGCAGCTGGGTCTCCTCAGCGGTTGTTGACATTGTAGCCTGCAGCTCCCTTCGTCGCTGAAGGGACCGGGAGATCAGCAAACTTGCCTGCACACTGCGTCGTCTGCGGCTCTTTGCACGGCCGCATGGCAAATGGTAGTTGCCCAAGAGAGGGGTACCCCAATATAGACCCCAAAACACTATCGTCCGTATTTTGGGGACCCCCAAAAAAGCACCCCTACTTCTAGGAAACCCTAAACCCTGTACTGTATAACACCTATGTATCCCTATCTACCCCTTAGTATGGGAAAGCCCCAATTTTTTGCCAAGAAGCCATGACTACTAGGACAACTCCTGCTGCCAGGCTATCCTCCTGCGTGGCATCCTCGGCTCCAGCATTTTAAGTTTTTTTTCTTTTTGAAGGGTTTCGGCTTCAGGGCTTTTAGGAGGGAATATGGGAAGATAATTCAGGAAATACAGGGATAATTTTGGTATAAGGGAATTTATATATATATATATGTATATGGGAATTATATGGAGGCATATGGAGACTATATAGTGGCATAATTTCGAGTTATCTAGGGACTATGTATGGGCAATACAGGGATAATTAGGGAATCAGGGAATGTATGATATAGGGGTTGTGTGGTTATTATCTTCACCTATTGCCTACTAAGAACCGGTAAGATTAGGATGGCCAGCTTCATTGCTACTGCACGACACATCCAGAACCCTTTGTAAGGGCTCCACGGAGATCGCTGGGTCCGGCTGAGAAAGCGGAAGGCCGGCTGCTGAAGTAAAGACCTCCGACACTGAAAGCCAACCCTCGCAGGTGCTTAGTAGCTTCAGCAGCAACAACTGCAACTGTCCACAGAAAATGCCGGCACGTGGCATCTTGATAACTCGTGGCAAGCACTGGCCGGGTTCGTGATGGCAATGGCCTAAGACAGGCCACTCGCCGAGTGCTCCACCTTGCAATCTCCAACCAGAATTCCACGGGAGAAACATCCAAAACAGTGGGACCAGTTCCGAACGCATACATCCTGCCTGCCAGGTCTGGCAGGCCTCTCCTGCCATGACATGACTCTTACAGTTTAAAGCCCTGAAGACACTTCCTGGGCCTTCTGAGGCACATGCCCCTTGTCTGCACACCTTTTCTCAGTGGTTCGCAGTCTAGCACTGGACGTGC